AAAAAAAAAAAAAAAAAAGAAATAAGCAATTTTGTGAGCAATACAAAGTCTTGGCAAGTTTGCCCTCATCTTAACATCTTCCGGATTCATCTGTAATAACACTGGTAGTCAAGCCAGGTGCTGGTGGCTCACGCCTGTAATCCTAGCTACTCACTCAGGAGGCTAAGATCTGAGGCTCATGGTTCAAAAGCCAGCTTGGGCTGTGCACTGGTGGCTCATGCCTGTAATCCTAGCTACTTGGGAGACTGAGATCTGAGGATTGCAATTCAAAGCCAGCCCAGGCAGGAAAGTGTGTGTAACTCTTATCTCCAATAAGCTATTCAGAAACCCGGAAGTGGCGCTGTGGCTCTAGTGGTAGAGCACTCACCTTGAGCTCAAGAGCTGAGGGACAGCACCTAGGCCCAGAGTTCAAGCCCCACAACCCCCCCCCCAAAAAAAAAGAAAAGCCAGCCTGGGCAGGAAAGTTCATGAAACTCTTTTGTTTTTTGTTTTTGGGGTATTTTTTGGGTCCAGTCGTGGGGCCTGAACTCTGGGCCTGGGCACTGTCCCTCAGCTCTTCAGCTCAAGGTTAGCGCTCTACCACTTGAGCCACAGTGCCACTTCCGGCTTTTTTCTTTTTGCTTATGTGGTGCTGAGGAATCGAACCCAGGGCCCCAGGCATGCAAGGCAAGTGCTCTACCACTGAGCCAATTTCCCAGCCCCTCGTGAAACTCTTATCTCTAATTAACCACCAGAAAACCAGAAGTGGAGCTGTGGCTCAAAGTGGTAGAGCACTAGCCTTGAGCAAAAGAGCTGCGGAATAGCACCCAGGCCCTGAGTTCAAGCCCCAGAACCAACCAAAAAAAAAAGAAAAGAAAGTAGTAGTCAAGTTTCAGGGTATGGTTTACCAAAGTGCTTTTAAGTTTCCTTGTACCTCTGTGCAATGTCTTAAGACTTTGCAAACACTGTTTATAAATGAGAACAATGTCTGCAAAGAAATAACCATGGCATTGTGTTCTGCATAGGCAGAAGGCCATCTAGTGGTGCTCACAAGTCTCTGGTTTACTTGAACCTGTAAGGATGTTATTTTCCTAAGATGCTGATTTCACTTTAAACTGATGATTTTTACCTTGGGTCATACTACTATATTTTTCTACATTATAACCAACATTATACTCCTGGCCCATATCACCTCCCTAGATGACAGGAGGGAAACATAGGGGCAGGGGAGAGATGTTGACCACAGGAAAGGTGGGGCTTGTGCTGTTGGCATAATCAGGTTGAGATCATCTGCTCTTCTGATTAAAGCTCTGGTTTGCACGGTGGCAAGGCTCAAATGACAGGCACACTAGCTCATCCCCTGCTTAGGTACTGAGCTCTGAGGATCCCTGTGTACTCATGCAGAAAACACCATGCAAATTTCTTAGCATGGCTGCTCTTTCTGTTGGGCAGGGTCAGAAGTAAAATTGGAAGAAATTGTCACAAACAGCCAAAATGCTACTACAACAGGTGGGCAGAAAGAAAGTCTTCTCTGGCTGAAGATAAGAACATCCTTCTTCTTCTTAGAATTTCTTTCTAGTATCTTTTTCTTGCCTTAGACAATGCATGCCTTATTTCTCCCATTTAAATTAAAATAAAACAAAAGACAATAACACACACTGTAAAACCTATTTGAGAGTAAATAAAGTAGAACATTCAGTGTCTGATACTTGGCTTTTGTTGATGATCAGCCATGAAATATATGCACGAGCTCCAAGAAGAAATCTCTTCATGTTCTTTAAAGAAGCTTCTGGGAGTGAGGGGTAGGGGAAAGCTCTTGGAGTGTGTGTGGGGGTGGGAGGGGTTGAGGAGACAAACTCATTTTAGAAGTAAGCTACCTTGACTAATGAGTAGAAATAGAGAATGTTAGCTAGCTCATACCTGAAATCCTAGCTAGTCTGGAGGCTGAGATCTGTGGATCCAGTTCAAAGTCAACCAGCCAGGGCAGGAAAGTCCATGAGACTCTTACCTTTAATTAGCCAGAAAAAAATGGAAGTGGATCTGTGGCTCAAGTGGTAGAGCTCCAGCCTTGAGTGACAGTGCCTAGGCCTGAGTTCAAAAGCCAATACTGGCATGCGCACACATGCACACACAGCATGTTAATGTCTTGAAGAACTTACTACAAACTTTACATTCTGCAATACTGATCTTTATGGCAGGGTAAGGACTGAGAATTAGTTGAAGAATGACCTCCAGTGGCCAGGAGTGGGACTATTCTGAATTGCAACCCATGGAAACCAGTTCTTTAGAATATGCAAATTCTCTCACTTCAAGCCAATCCCCTCAACTCTCAGTGGAAGCTCTAATGCTGTCTCTGATTGGTCAATGAACAATCACCCGGCCCCTACTTCACAAATACTCCAAGATACTTGTGGCCACAGTAAAAGATTTGAAGGAGGCAAAAAATAAGAGAAACCAGAGAAGAAAGGCTAGGAAGAAGCCCTAGAAAGTCAGAGAGAAAAGAGGTCAGCACCTTGGTTTGGGCACTCACCTTGGTAACATGTTAGCTTGGGTCCTCAAGGGGGAGGAATTCCTCTCAAAGAGGAGTGCCTTCCATCCCAGCATGACTGGGATTTCTTCCAGGAGCTTGGCTTTAGAATACTCCCTGTATTCCACCACACTGAAGAGGGAAATAAAAGCCTTTCAAAACAAAGATTTAGACTTCAGAGGTTCCAAAGCTTTTTTTTTCCCCCCCAGAGCTGAGCCAAAGCTTTTATGTGAGTAACTGAGATGTCTTAGCAAAAGAGAGGGCAGACAGTACTTGTTCCTTTGCAAACAGGTCAGCATGTTCCACATCAAAGTGCCAAACTGTAAGGTTGTTGGCTCTTCCAGCTTCCGGCTGCAGACTTTTTCCTTTGCTTCTGTAAGTAGTCATCCAGCAAACAGTGGCCAGGGCTCTGTGCTAAGCACTTAGCTTACATAATGAGGCCGCTCCAACCCCTCCGACACCTGTTTCTCCCCCACCCCACCTTCATTTGCTAAGGTTAATTGGCTTCACAGGGCCTTGATGACTTGAATTCTGACCCAACCAGGATACCTAGTTGGTGAGGTAGAGCAATATCGTCAGAGAATCAGATGCCATGATACTTGGTGCTTAGTAGGGTATTAATAAATACCCACTGAACTAATGCTGGTGGAAGAATTGTATGTTCCCAGAACTTTTTGAAGGTTCAGAATTGATATAGAAATAGAGATAGTGGCTGCTTGCAATCATTAGATATAGTAGAGCACATTTTATTTTTTATTTTTTTGTCAGTTGTGGGGCCTGAACTGTGGGCCTGGGCACTATCCCTCAGCTCTTCAGCTTAAGAGCACTAGCTAGTGCTCTACCACGTAAGCCATAGCGCCACTTCCAGCTTTTTCTGTTTATGTGGTGCTGAGGAATTGAACCCAGGGCCTCATGCATGCAAGGCAAGCACTCTACCACTGAGCCACCTTCCCAACCTCTAAAGCACATAGTGTGTGTGTGTGTGTGTGTGTGTGTGTTTCAAAGAGGAAATCTCTCAAAAGCAACTTTTAATTTTGTAGGAGCCAAGAGTGATCAGCAGTTAACCAGCCAATTCAGCTGAGGGTCTCAAATGTTAAGCTGTGTGTGTGGTTTGTGTTGTGTTCAAGGGAGAGCAGTTCCAAGGTGATAACTTGAGCCAACTCTTTGTGCTGTGGTGGTCTCTTAGAGCCTTTCATTCTCATCTTAGTAACTTAAAAAATGTTTTGTTGTTGTTGTTGTTGTTGCCAGTACTGGAGCTTGAACTTGGAGCCTGAGTAGTTAAAAGTTAACAGTAGTTAACTTTTTTTTTCTCAAGCCTGGCACTCTACCACTTGAGTCACAACTCTACTCCTAGCTTTTTGGTGAATTGGAGATAAGAATCTAACAGACTTTTCTGCTGGGGCTGGCTGTGAACCATGAGCATCAGATCCAAGCCTCCTGAGTGGTGAGGATTACAGGGGTGAACTACAAGCTGCCTGGTTACAACATTGCAATTAGAGGAAAGAGTCAAGTTCCCTTTATGCCTCACGGAGAAATATAGTTGATAATCTAAGGATGTGTTCCCAGGGAAAAGAGGTCAGCATGAACAGCAATTCCCCACAAACCAGAGTGCGTCAGACTCATGTTTTGATGACAGGTATATAATTTGTTCACTGATTTGCAGTAGTCAAAAGCAATGCAGAGAGGATCTGGGAAGGTGGACCAGTAGACCTGTCTCAACCTGATTTATAGAGGTGGGGGGAAAGGCTCAGAAAGATTTCTTTGCTCATAGCTGATGCTTTACTATCTGAGCCATGCCTCCAGCCCACCCTTTATACTGGTTAGAGTTTCATAGACTTTTCTGCCCAGGCTGGCGCTGAACCTTGATATTCAGGTTTCAACCTGAGTAGATAGAATTATAGCGCAAGCCACCAGCACCCAGCCAAATTTGTTTTCTTATAAAGATCTCCCTTTAACAATTCACAGCAGAGGGGCTGGGAAGGTGGCTCAGTGGTAGAGTGCTTGACTTGCATGCATGAGGTCCTGGGTTCGATTCCTCAGTACCACATAAGCAGAAAAGGCCGGAAGTGGCGCTGTGGCTTAAGTAGTAGAACGCTAGCCTTGAGCTGAAGAGCTGAGGGACAGCGCCCAGGCCCAGAGTTCAAGGCCCATGACTGACAAAATAAGTAAATAAATGCCTTTAATGTACATTGTTCGTTGTAAATCCTAGGAGGTTAGTAAGTATAATTGGCATTTTATTAAGATTATTTTTAGTTATTAATGTAGCTTTCTTTTAAAAAATCTGTTATCTATCTTTGGCAGAGCTGGGGTTTGAACTTAGAGCATTATACTTGCTAGGCAGGTGTTCTACTACTTGAGCCATGATCCAAGCCCTTTTTTTGCTCTAGCTAACTTCAGACCACAGTCCTACTAACTAAGGCCTTCATAGGTAGTACGAAAATCATGTGCTAACTGTACCAGGCTTGCTACCTGTCTTACAATGTTTCTCTTGCCTCTCTTGGGCTGAGAACCAGCAATGTCCAGGAGTGTGTTCTTTGCTTGTCTATGATTTGTCCAGAGATTTCCTTTGTATCAATCTTACCAACTGAATCATAGACTGGAAAAAGGAAAGGGAGAGGATTTCCAACCCCGTGTGTGTGTGTGTGTGTGTGTGTGTGTGTGTGTGTGTGTGTGTGTGTGCCTAGGTTTTGCTTTAGTTATTTTTCAGATAGTGTCTCATCTTCCTACCTAGGCCAGCCTTGACCATAATCCTCCTATTTATACCTCCTGCAGAGCTGGGATTACAGGTACTACCCTGTCTAGTATTTTACTTGAGGTGGGATCTCGCTCACTTTTTGCCCTGCTTGGCTTTGAACCACAATCCTCCTGATCTGTCTCTCAAACAGCTGGGATTACAGGAGTGAGCCCTCATTCCTGGCTAGCCCAACCTTTTGCAGGTGAAGATCCTGAGGCTTAGGGACATGACTCTCTAGCAAAGGTAGATTTCTCTTCAAGGCTATGTAAACCCAAGATCTTCTGGTCCCCTGGCCCTGTGCTCATTCTTTCCACCAGAAAATCTCCACACTGTTTGCTGATCTTCCCTTTCAAACCTGTACCACAGGCTTGACTTGCTTTGCCTCAACTTGACTTCCTGAGTATATGTTAGAGAGAACATGCTTAGAGGCCTAGAAGTCTCTCCTTACCGTGTGACCTTCTCACCTGTGGGAGCTCAGTCCTTTCTTCTAGTGCACTTAGGGTCAAGAGTCAACGTCCCTTTGCTGTCTCAAGGAGAAAAACAGTTGACATCGAAGGATTGTGTTCGCAGAGAAAAGGGGTCAGATTGCAGCATAGATCAGCCAGCATGTTGCCCCTCAGAATCCCAGATGATGCTTCTTACAAACACACAGGGAGAGGCCACAGCCCTGGAGTCTTCAGCTGAAACAGCAAACCCTTGCCTTGCTCTTGGCTACTGCAAATCAGTGAACAAATGCTACGCCTGTCATCAAAGCAGGCGTTTGACTCATTGACATAGCTGCAGAGCAATCTCCCATAAGCCAGGACGTGAGGACGCTGGCATCACATATAGCTTCACTGCACCATGCACAGCCCAGCCCCCAGCCCTGCTCACCCCTCATGTGGCGGTCATCTGACCTTGGGCAACAGGACCAGGCCCAGACCTCACTGTTGAGGTTGACTCTGAGGCCCAGGTTTGTTGCTGCTAATTGATTAAAGGGGTTTGTGAAAAGCCATTGCTCAACCATGTGCCTTGTCTCCTGGCCCCTGGTGCCAAGCCCTTCTGCAGGTAACCAGTGTGTTCAGTGGAGGGGCAGGAGGCGTCCTGATGTTTGAGTGGAGGAGATGTGTTGGTGGTGATATTGGGGTGCTGGGGGAACTGCCTGCTGCTCCTGACTCTGTGTCGCTTTGCAGGGGGACCAGACGGCCTTGCACCGGGCCACAGTGGTGGGGAACACGGAGATCATCGCGGCCCTGGTGCAGGAAGGCTGTGCCCTGGACAGACAGGACAAGGTGAAACGGGACATATCAGCTGCTTGCTCCCTAGATCGAGAATTGGGGGGCTAGAGGGGACTCGGGGCACCCTTTTGGCTACTTTGGGGTACCCAAGATGCTATTCCTGTCTTACCTCTTACAAATCATGATGAAATCAGCCCAACTTTCTCTGAAGCCAGTTGAGGAGAGCCAAGTTGACTGTGATGAGAAGATTCACACCTTAAGTAATGTGCTTTCTTTTTTCTTTTTTTCTCAAACACAGTATGTGATGCATTCACACTCTGGCTATTGCTCCACTACCTGAGCTATGCCCCCAGCCCCAAGTAATGTGCTTTCTACCCTGTGTGTTTCTTAGGATGGGAATACAGCCCTGCATGAAGCCTCCTGGCATGGGTTCAGCCAGTCAGCCAAACTACTTGTTAAAGCTGGAGCCAATGTACTTGCCAGGAACAAGGTGAGGCTAGGCGGGTGCTAGAAGTGATCCCTTCCTGGGTGAGGATATGTGTGGGTCTCTCCACCTGTCTCTGTCTCTCAGTGAGCAGAGCAAGGGCTAGCGGGATGAGTGGAGCCTAGTAGGGCCTGTCCACCCACAAGGTCATTGGCAGAGGAGAGCAGAAGCAGCTCCTGGTTTAGGCCAGGATCTTGCTCAGCAACAGTGTAGACACTCCTGCCAGAAGCCTAAATCAAATTACTGTTTCCTCTGGGTGCCAGTGGCTCATGCCTGAAATCCTAGCTACTCAGGAGACTGAGATCCGAGGATCATGGTTTGAAGCCAGCCTGGGTAGGAAAGTCCATGAGACCTTTATCTCCAATTAACTACCCCCCAAACTGGAAGTGGAGCTGTGGCTCAAGTAGTAGAGTACTAGCCTTGAACAGAAAAAAAAAAAACCCAAAAAACAAAAAAACTCAGAGATAGCATCCAGGTCCTGAGTTCAAATCTCAGGACTGGCACACACAAAAATTATTTTCTGCATCCTCTGACACTATTGGGAGAGTATAGGAGCAAAGAAAACCTACCAGCAAAGAACTTTATATCACCAGTGGTAGCAAGAGTATGGTAGGCGGCCTCCGCAGAAGCGGCTGGGCTAGGCAGTAGGATGGGAACAAGCACCAGGCCAGCAAGCTGGCAAACAAATTTAAAAAACACCTTAAAAATGGTTCTGCTGGGCTTGGTGCCAGTGTTGGCCTCACCCTGTAAACCTTCTATTTGTTTCTGGCACCCCCCTTCCCCAGACAAATAGGTCTAGGTTTGCATCCAGTAGCTGTCCTCCTAGGAAAGAAAAGGAAAGAAAAGAGAAAAAGGCTACCACTGAAGCTCAGTGGTAGAGCGCTGTGTGGCATACGTGAAGCCCCGTGTTCAATCCCCAGCACCACACATACAAAGAGCAGTAAAATATGCTGGTAAAAAATTTACCTGCATGGAAGTGGCTCTGTGGCTCAAGCGGTAGAATACTAGCCTTGAGCTGAAGCGCTGAGGGACAGCGCCCAAGCCCAGAGTTCAGGCCCCATGACCGACCAAAAAAAAAAAAAATTTACCTGCAAGCCAGGCACCGGCAACTCACTCCTGTAATCCTAGCTACTCAGGAGGGTGAGCTATGAGGATTGTGGTTTGAATCAAGCCTAGACAAGCAAAAAAAAAAATCTGTGAAACACATTTTTGGGAGGGCCAATCATGGGGCTTGAACTCTTTGCCTGGGCACCACCCCTGACCTTTTCAGCTCAAGGCAAGCACTCTACCACTTGAGCGCAATACCACTTCCGGTTTTCTGGTAGTTAAGATTAGAGTCTCATGGACTTTCCAGTCCAGGCTGGCTTTGAACTGTGTTCCTCAGATCTCAGCCTCCTAAGTAGCTAGGATTACGGGTGTGAGCCACTGGCACCTGGCGCCTGTGAAAGTCTTATCTCCAATTTGCCACCAAAAAGCCGGAAGTGGAGCTGTGGCTCAAATGGTAGAGCACTAGCCTTCAGTGAAAAAGCTGAGGGTCAACACCCAGGCCCAGAATTCAAGATTCAGTATAAGCACCCATGCACACACGCGCGCACGCACACACATACACACACACACACACATACACACATACACACGGATGTTTATGACAACAATAAGGTATAAAACATATGAAGAGGAACTTAAAATTGTTATATGAGCATATCATAAATACAATATAAATAAAATAATAATTTTGAAGAGAACTCTCTTGAGTTGCAAAATAACAGTTCAGAGCAGTACAATTTCATAGTTACCTGTCAAAATGCTTAATATAGAATTGTATATATTTTAAATAAGCCTAGAAGTATGTCAGCAAAATATCGATAAGTGTTTATGAGAATTGAGGCTGATTGATTTTTGGTTTTGTTTCTACTTTTTGCCTTTGCCAAAGTTCCCAAACTGAACTGGTTATTTCTTTCACAAGCAGGAGAAGAAACATTTTATTTTGAAAATAAGAAAGCATTAGTCAAGTGCAGGGGGCTTACTCCTGTAATCCTAGCTACTCAGGAGTCTGGGATCTAAGGATCACAGTTCAGAGCAAAAAAAAAAAAAAAAAACAAGTCTGTGAGATTTCTTTGTTTCCAATTTATCAGCAAAATGCCAGAAGTGGAGCTTTGGCTCAGTGGTAGAGCACCAGCTTTGAGCCAAAAGGCCAAGCGAGAGCAGAAGACCTTAAGTTCACATACTCACACACACACACAAGCATAAGTACTTTTGGGATTAGGAACTAGTAGAGAGTAGTGGCAAGGGTTTGAAAGAGACTGAGAATTTCCCACAGTGCACTTGGATGGGTGGCATCGTGGGATGGTGTGTTGAAGCTGATATGCTAGAATGGGGGTGGTAAGCATCATGGTGATTGTGAACAGCATTTGGTCATTTCCCCTAAAACACACAGTCTGTGGACAGTTTCACATCACAGTAGGGGTTGACAGTGACTATCGCTAGCCTTTAGACACTCATTTCTATGGCAGATCTTCAATAGTAGAGTCAGGAGCCAGATGTAATATTAAGGAGCCTGTCAGAAAGAGTGTGCATCAATGCCAGAAAGACTTTGGGGCCTCACCTGCTGCCCACAAAAGCAGAACAGAATCTTCATAAAGAAGGACGTGCCTCAGTGATTCTCTTTTATTCCCTTGGTTTATTAGAGTGTGGGGAAGCAAGCCAGCCTTGTTCTCATAGCAACAGGGACAGAACAGTGGTCCTTCTTTTGGTCATCTCTTTTACTCTCATCTATCTCTCTTCCCTCTCCCACCATTTTTTGTGTCTCGGGACATTTTCTTCACGTCTCCCACCCTTTAGAATAGTCCTTCCCCGCCCTGCCTGCAGCCCTCTCACCCCTGCTACACCCAGATTAGAGTTGCTGCTTACTGTCATGTGTTCCTCAAGGTTCCTTCATAGAAGGAAAGAAGTAGCTATTCAAGGTACCATCACCAATGATGTCAGGCTCATTGCTTTCAGGCTGGTGGCTGCTCAGTACCTCTAGATGGTACATGATCAGAAACATGAATTGGTGAATATCACTTCCTTTTTTTGTTCTTGGTGGTGGTACTGGGGTTTGAATTCAGAGCTTTGTGCTTGTTAGGCAGGTACTGTACAGCTGAGCTATACCTTCAACCCTGTATTTTGCTGGTTATTTATTTATTTTTAGTCATATCACTTTGATTGGGATTAGAAAGATACGTAGATAATAGGTAAGAGGAACATAAAAATAGGGAACATGTTAGGGAATATTTTGAATACATCCTAGAGTCCAGTAGGCTCTTCCTTTTGTGTTTGGCGCACACATGCAGGTAAAAGACTTGTAGATCTCTGATGGATAAAGAGAATGAGTAGTTGTGGGCAAAATCCCACACACATGCATGCATTCAAGTGGAAAAAAACAAGCATACCTAATACATGCATGCACACAAACAAAAAAAAGCAAGCACATAAAGCACATGCATACACACGGAGAAACATGAGCCAGTCATTTTTGAGAAAGGGTCTTGTTTCTTGCCCGAACATGTTTCAGGCATGTTTCCACCTGTTTCAGGCTTCCTGTGGTGGTTAGGATGATAAGCATGTGCTGTCACATCCAGCCTTGGTCATATTTTTTTTTCCTGTCAGATTTTTGAGAAAGCATTTCCATGCATACAATTTACCATTTTATGCAAGAAAGCATATCATACTGTGACTCTGGGCCATTGTATACTACTGCATAATCACTACCACAGATAGAGAATGCTTCTACCTCCTAAAAATAAGTTCCTTTGCACACTTTGTTGGCAACCCTACAATCACATCCCCTCCTAAACCCAGGAGTTGAAGGTTAATGATAGCTGGAACTCCTGCACCTGTTCAGATTCCACATTCAATATCCTTGGCTCCAAACCCCCCTGCTGGATGCCCCCCCCCAGAGGCAGAATGTAAGTGTCCCCCCTCCCAGTAAGTACCAACCCCACTGCAAGGTGTATAAGTCTGTGCAGAAGTGTGCTGCTAACGTGTCTCCCCCTCTGTCTGCCTCTCTCAGGCAGGGAACACAGCCCTGCACCTGGCTTGCCAGAACAGCCACTCTCAGAGCACGCGTGTCCTCCTGCTGGGTGGTTCCCGCGCTGACCTCAAAAATAACGTAGGTGAACAGCTTCTCAAACCTTCTCTCAAGTCACCTTGGAAGATAACCCCTGCAGTGTACTTTCCTAAGAACATCTAGAAATTAAGATGTCAGAAGTATTTGGGGCCTATCCTTAAATTATGCACGTGTTGTGGGATTTTTTTTTGCTAATTTTCTAAGGAGTCGTTTAGAAGATGAGGAGAAGAATCGAAAGGATTGGAAATATTATCGCCATTTTTCTTCTAGCATATGACTGTCTAGAATAGTCTAGGGAATCTGTGAATGTCTTAGGCTCTGCCCATGTGAGTGCATATTGTCCCATCTATGTGGCATATATTCCCATGCGGGACTCTCATCTAGGTGATGGTGCCACACCGAGCAGGCAGGTCCTGCAAGGCTCCACAGCCAGCATCTTCCAATGGCAAGTCAGCTGATGACCGAGGTGTCCTTGCACTGAGCTGAGAATGCCTGCCTTGAATGCAACCTTGAATACAGCCTCCCTCCGCAGAGGCTTTTTCCGGTTTAAATCCCATGCCTTAGACACATTGACCAGAAAATGACTAGCTTCTCCAAAAGATCGTGGAAATCTCCTTGTTTGGAGCAGTTTTATCAAATTCATTCTAAGGCTAGGCACTGGTCGCTCATGCCTATAATCCTACCTATTCAGGAGGCTGAGATCTAAGGAGTGTGGTCTGAAGCCAGCTCGAGCAAGAAAGTCCATGAGACTCTTATCTACAATTAACCACCAAAAAGCTGGCAAGTAAAGCTATGGCTCAAATGGTAGAGCACCAGCCTTCAGCAAAAAAAGTTCAAGGACAGTACCCAGACCCTGAGTTCAAGCCCCAGTACTGGCACAACAAATTAAAAAGGAATATACAATAGTTTAGCAGCTTCTAAATGATTTTCTTTTCAGTTATGTCTTGTGACTGCTGACCGTGCTTTCTGTCCACAGGCAGGCGACACCTGTTTGCACGTTGCTGCGCGCTATAATCACTTGCCCATCATTCGGCTTCTCCTCAGTGCTTTCTGTTCTGTCCATGAAAAGAACCAGGTCAGTGCAGGTGTCTTCGCCATCCCCACGCTCCAGGTGTGCGGTGGATAGCAGCTGCCCGCCAGCCTGCATTGTGTCCCACTGGGCTGCAGTGTCCCTGCCTTCTCTGGGTCATTCCCATGCACATCTTTGCATGTGAATTTTGCACGGTTTCTTGGAGAGCCTAAGGGCAAGTTTTGTTAATGATGTGATTTTTTTTTAAATAAGGAAATCCACAGGGAGGAGTGTGGCTTTGTAAAGAAGCCAGGCAATTGGGAGTCTCTGGACTTCCTGTGTTATGTTCTCTGGGGTGCTCAAAGTTCAAGAACCAATTTGTGTTTCCAGCAGCTGGAGGCTCTCATTTCTGAGAAATTGGAGTCATAATCTGTGTCTGCTATTGAAATGAGGCTGAGATGAAATACAGTCAACCATGGAAACGTGCATGCTTGCCAGTAGCCATTTGGATAAAAGAAAGCAATTGTTAGGGTTTTAATTGATACCTAAATGATGTGTTGATTGCTTTTTATGACTTTGAGTGCATAACTCTGAAATTAAAAAAGATTTTGGTTTATATAAAATATACCATATAAGCCTCTGTTTATAACATTGATAACAAATATATACATATATACATATATACACATGCATATATATATAAATATTACAAGAATAATTGGGGGTTCATCATACTTGCTTGGTTTGCTTACTAGATTGGTATGCTCCCACTTGAGCTGTGCCTCCAGTTATGCTTTTTTTTTTGGTCGGTCGTGGGGCTTGAACTCTAAGCCTGGGTGCTGTCCCTGCGCTCTTCAGCTCAAGGCATGCTCTACTGCTTCAGCCACAGCGCCACTTCCAGTTTTTGAGTGGTTTATTGGAGATAAGAGTCTCACAGACTTTCCAGCCTGAGCTGGCTTTGAACCGTGATTTTCAGATCTCAGCTTCCTGAGTAGCTAGGATTACAGGCATGAGCCACCAGCACCCGACTCAGTTATGCTTTTTACTACTCATTTACAAGTGGAGCCTAGCAACCTTTTTTGTCCAGGCTAGCTTTAAACCACAAGTCCTTCAGATCTCAGCCTCCTGAGTAGCTAAAATTATAGGTGTAAGCCACTAGGGCCAGCTTTAGAGCAGTGAATTTTGACCCTGAATGCATATAAAAATCAACAGGGGAATTAAAAAAAATTCCTGGATCTCATCCCAGTGCAAAAGAGCCAGACTTTGGGCTTATGGTCTAAGCAATCGTGTTTTCTAAAAGCTCCCTGTCTGATGTGCAGCCATGATGAAAATCACTGACAAAATAGCCAAATATGGCTGAGTGTAGTGGCTCAAGATTAATTCTAGCTGCTTGGGAGGCAGTAATCAGAGAGGACCAAGGTTCCAAGCCAGGCTGGGCAAAGAAAGCTCAGAAGATACAGTCTTGATCAATGGACTGGGCACAGTGGTGCTGGACTATAATCCCATTGACAAAGGGAAGCACAGATGGGAAGATTGAGGTCCAGGCCAGCCTGGGTATAAAGTGAGATCCTATCTTGAAAATAACAAACACAGAAAGGGATTAGCAGAGAGGCTGAAGTGGCAGAGTACCAGCTTAGCAAGCATTGTGGCCTGAGTTCAAATCCCATTACTGTCAGAAAAGAAAGAAAGAAAAACACAGTCTCCCTAGTGATTCCAGCACACCTTGCTCTACTCCCCTACCTCCCCACCTCATGCTTCTCAGCCATGGCAGCAGCTCACAGTCATAGTCACCCCGGAGCCTTTAAAATCCCCATGCCCTGCTGGGCACCAGGGGCTCACACTTGTTAATTCTAACTACTCAGAAGGCTGAGACCTTGAAGATTGCATTTCAAAGACAGCCTAGGCAAAACACTCCAAGACACTCCATCTCCAATTAACTAGCAAAACGCTGGGCTGGGGGTCTGGCTCAAAGTGGTAGAACACTAGCCACACATGAGGCAAGCTGAATGAGTGTGAGGCCCCTGAGTTCAACTGCTGAAAAATAATTTTTTTTGGGCCCGGTCGTGGGGCCTGAACTCTTTGCCTGAGTGCTGTCCCTCAGCTCTTCAGCTCAAGGCTAGTATGAGCCACAGCACCACTTCTGGCTTTTTTCTTTTTGCTTATGTGGTGCTGAGGAATCGAACCCAGGGCCTCAGGCATGCAAGGTAAGCGCTCTAC